ATATATATACATACATATATGTATATATACATATATATATATATATATATATATATATATATATATATATATATATATATATGTATGTATATGTATATGTATATGTATATATATATATTATATATATGAATATATATATATATATATATAATATAATATATATATATATATATATATATATATATATATATATATATATATATATATAATATAATATAATATAATATATAAAAATATATATATATGTATATATGTATATATATATATATATATATATATATATATATATATAATATATATATATATATATATATATATATATATATATATAAATATATATATATATAATATATATATATATATATATAATATAATACATATATACATACATATATATATATATATATATATACATATATATATATTATATTATATATATATATATATATATATATATATATATATATATATATATATATATATATATGAATATAAGTTTTCTTTAGTGTTCTATATATTTTTATCTGGCTGTATATATTGAAAAAAAAAATTTAATAATAATTAATATTTTAAAAAAGTTTTAGATAATAATTGCAGTGTATTTCAAGATACGATGCGTTTTGAAGTTCAATAAAATGATGACAATGACTCATGTCAGGTAAAATAGTAATATACAAAACTAAAATAAAGTCAAATAAATATATACATAGGCAAATGTGTTATTATTTATTTATGTTGTTGTAAAATGACGCTCTTTTATTAGTCTGTCCTTTTTTTCCAGAGTTCAGTAAGATCATTATTTGTTAAACTTTGTTGTTATATATTTGACAGCAATGTAAATTGTATAGTACTACTTGGAAACGATAAAATTTCAGAGCAAATTTATTCAAATTTACTTTATTGTACCCACAAGCTTTATTTACTGTTACTAATTCTATATTAATATTCTTAAATAACAAATCATTTAAACTTTTCGAATTTTTTGAACGAAGTTAAATTATATAACATCTTTTAAAAGCTTTTTGGGAATGCTTATTAGTGTTTTTTGAATACTAAGGTAGGCCTAGTTTTAAACAGTTACTGTAAACTTTTACAAACTGAACTAATTTTGCAACATTCTTCAATGCTTTTGTATAAGTCTGAGACATAATGTCTATTTCATTTTATTTTTTTTTAAGTTTTCTAGGTTTATAATTGCAATTTGAATTGCAAAGCAAAAAAGCTTGTGTGATGGCAATATTTAACATAAGACAAATTTGTTGATAAGGTAAAAATCATTTTTATTTTGTTAATATTTAGGCAATAATTTAGATTTTTGTTGGTTGCTGATATTTTTGTTTATTATTTTCAGCTCGCAACATTGTTTTCAGACGATAAATAAATCTAAATTTTATTTGGAAAAGAGGTAGAATGCAACATTCAAAAAGTGACTTCTAGATCAAGTCTGTATATCTGTCGAAAACCCAATTGTAAAGTTAAAGCGATGCAATCGCCGAGCCCATATCTCAATCTTTCTGAATATATATGTCAAAGACCGTTCTACAAATTTGTGACATTTTCTGTATTTCTTTTTGTTAAGGCTTTACCTGAATATTAGCGCTAACATTCAGGTAAAGCTATAGCTACCAATTATTTTTTTAAATAAAACTTTTACTAATTATTTTGTCTTTTTTTCGAAGCCCTATGTAATATAATATTGAATATATATTTAAATATATATAATATGAAGTCTATCAAATTCAACAAAAATGTTTATTAATACGATATAATTTAACTTTACTAAATAAATAGAAAAATTTTTAAATAATTATGAAATATTATTTATAAAAATATAATTAATTAAAATAATAATAAAATGCTTTTTTTATTAAAATATAATTAAATTGAATAATTATAGCGGAATTATTATGATAACAAGTTTTGCGTAAACTTATATTATGATATCAGGGTTTGAATTCAAAATGATATCAATGAGTGATTTTATTTTGATATCATATTGATATCATAAACTTTTCATATTATGATATCAGGGTTTGAGTTCAAAATGATATCAATGAGTGATTTCATTTTTATATCATAATGATATCATATATGTCTCATATCATGATATCATATATCTCATAGTTTGATATCAAAATGATATCAATATGATATCAAGCTCCTGACTGGAAAGCACTGTAAACAAAAAACGGTACGTTTAAGTTTAAACAAAAAGTATTTAGGCAGTTAGTAGCAGGAGAGTCGAACAAATTAGCAAACATTGGCATAAGTGCAAACGGGCACAAGGGCGAACTGACATAAGTGCAAAGCAGTTACAGGAACTGGAAAATATGCAAACTGGCATAAGTGTATATTGGCATAAGTGCGCCGAATAAATTTGAAAATATTGGGATAAGCGCCCAGCAAACATCAAGCAGGCGGACCGATAACGGACCGCTGTCAGCACTTATGTCTTACCAACGTCGGCCGCCCGTTGCGTTGCCGCGTTGGCTTGCACATCGTATTTACATCGGTCCGTTAGCGAAAAACTGAAGGCGGTTCGACAGCGGACCTATGGCGGCAAATCGACAATGTTTGAGCAACGGTCCGTCAGCGGCTAAACAATGATAAAGCCATTGCGGAATAGCATAGGATCTATAATAAGTTTTGACTAAGATTTGAATGCGTTGATATACATATAATTATTTTTATTTTTTTGTTTGAATAGAACGCGCTTATCGTTAGCAAAAATCTTTATATCTTTAAGCTCATATTTTTACTCATAAAAAAAAGCAAATCCTGCCAATACCTGGAAGACACATCAAATATCTTTTGACTTGTGCATAGGTGTATAGACAAAATACGAATTTATTATACTAAAATTCTCCTACCACCGATAAACACTACCCCAACTGTAAATCAATAGGTCATACGTGGCAAGGCTTAAGCTTGGTGAACAAAAAGACTAATCAGAAGTTATCATAAAAATCATTTTAAGATTGCAATTTACAATTACAACATGAATATAAAAGTAACAATAATTTTTTTTTAAACTAAAACAAAATATAAAGTATATTTGCATCTATAGATTATTGCTTCACTTGCGTTTAGCGAGCATTTAAAATATAAAATAGTTAATTTTCAACATATCTATAAGTTCAGTTTATTCTCATTTCAATCGAAAACTAAATATATTCAGAAAACCATGTGTTGAAAGTTAATTTACGTTGCAGTCTGCAGACTTCTAACTTTCACATTGAATAAATATAAATTTAATTTTATTATTTAAGCATAATTTAAAACATAAAAACAAAAAAAATATTGTTTAAATTGAAAAGCTATGGAAATAACTTTAAAAAAAAAAGCTATATAAAAATAAAGTCATATTGCGTGCCTTTTTTAAAAAAATAATACTTCATATACAGTAACCTACCTGGTATACCTAATCCTATAAATGTTGGGTATAAATATGCTTGAGGGGTTTATGAATAATAAAAAAAATTTGTTATTTCATTAAAAAAATTTTCTTTAATTTTAATTTTAGTTTAACAAATAAAATAGTATTTAAAAATGAGATACTTATATGCCAGGTTGGAGGTGAAACCGTAAAACCCACAGCAACTTAAGGGCGATAGTGAACCTTTTGCAAAGCATAAGCCTAAGACACAAGGGCACATCTGAAAAAGAAAGAATCAGAGACAGAACACATCAATAAAAATATATTTTGATAAACTAAAATATAGTTTGTAAATTGAACATAGTTTTCACCATACAACAAAAATAACATAGTGCAATATACTATACTATAAAAATTCCTTGAAAAATATAAAAAATCAAATAATTGATTGAAATAAAACGGTTTAGTAAATAAGTATATAATTTTTTTCTAATAAATTATTTGTAAGTATATAAAGAGCAAATAAATATGTTTAAAGAAAATATGATTTAAATCCAGTTTGCAAATCAAATATCTATCTTATACCCATGGCAATATTTGGATCATGGTCAACATAATTCTATGAAATATAACTCTGGTTGAGGTAAACGGTTTCCTGTAAAGAAATAGTATTAAATCATAAATGTAACATTAAATTACAAGCGTGTTTGAACAGAATTGTTACAGCAATCCTTTAAAATAATGGCTTGTAAAATAAAAATTTTGTTGGATTTTTATTCATCTGCTTCACTGGTTAAATACCAAGTTAATTTAGCTTTCCATCAATAACTTAATATTTTAAAGCTTATAGTTATATTTAAATTTAATATAATCAAACAAATCAAACAGTAGACAGACTCCAGAACTTATATTTTAGATTTTCTTAAAAAATAACATTAAAATAATATCAAAATAATAAAATTAAATAAATATCAAAATAATAAAATTAATTTTACTTTATTCTCTGGTAAGATTCAATATCACGATTTAAATTCTCATCTACAATCTCATATACAAAAGGTTACTGTAAAAAGAATGAATATGAAAAACACAGATCAATAATACTCATTACACAAAAAAACTTTACTCTATTGAGTTTAAAAATATATAAAATATTGTAAAATAAAGATAACAAATATGTAATTAAAGATGCTTATTTTAATTAGCAATGTTATTCATCTTCTGAACTAAATTATTCAATGGCATTGGAAAACTTGATGTAGGCATCATTTTCTTGGCTTGTTTGTTTTTTTGGTCTTGTCTAACTTTTTTTCTGCCATTGCGATCTGATGCACCACGCAAAAAACGCACAACCTCATATTGAAAATCTGATTCAGTTGCTGAAGTTGTTGCAGGATTTCTTTTTACAGCTCCTAAAAATTAATTTAAGACTTTTATTTAACTATCTAGCAGGAAAACAAAAAATATATTTTTTAACTTAATTTTTTTTAAAGCAATTTATTAACAAATTTTATTTATGTATTTATTAATTTTTTATTTTTATATAGTTAATAAATAAATTTTATTTATTTATCAACTATTTATCAACAAATAGATTAGTAATTACTCAATTAGACACAAGTAATTATTAAATTAGAGTAACAAGCCCCTACAAAAAAAATTACTTTTAAGCAAGTGTAAGTCTTTGTTTTACAAAGTTACTTTCATTGTCATTTATGGTAATACCAGACCAGTTAAGTTTACAGCAGAGGTTGTTAGTGAATAACGCAAAGGACATTCTCTGGACAGCCTCCTTTAAAGTCTGGCCTCCTTTACTTGCCAAAGCTATTATCTACAAAAAAAAAAGAAAAAGCATCAGTAATATATATACTGAAGAATATTTTTTAAAAATTTAAAAATAGATATCAAATTAATGCCATTAATTATTGCATAACATTTATATAGGCTTTATGTCCTTTATTTCTGTTTATAAATGATCTAGCTGGTGTACCACAAATAAAAGCTGATATAGCAAACTTTTATACTTTACCATTAATACTAATACCAGAATCAAATAAAGCAATACTTTCATTAACAAACATTTTTAGAAATTCATTACGGTCTTTTGGTTTAGACCTACTATAAAAAAGACTAATTATAAATGGGGTTTTATTGTGTTGAATATTGTTTATCCACATTTTTATTAAACCTAATATTGGCCAAAATTGTCCAATGCTACTTTTAAACAATGGTAAATCATCAATGTTGACTTGAATTGGTATACAATCCTTTTTCTTTAAAAAACTTAAATTATTACTTAAAATACCTTGTCTAATGCCAATATTTAATATCAATAGATTACTGTCAGAGTTCACTTCACAATCAATATTATTTGCACCTTAGGGAACAGCACTCTCAGTTGAAAGTTTTCGATATACTTTTTAAATACAATGATTGTACTTCTTCTGGTGAATGTGAAATATTGCTTGATTTAATGGTAAGATCTTTTAGGCAATATTCAACATCAGCTATTATCTTTCGTCGTTTTGTTCAAAAGCTCACTATTGAAACTTACATAAATTGTTTTATTTACTAAAGCTGGTACATATTTAAAAATGTATATATTATATATATGTATATGTATATATATATATATATATATATATATATATATATATATATATATATATATATATATATACATATATATATATATATATATATATATATATATATATATATATATATATATATATATATATATATATATATATATATATATATATATATAACTTCATATTAGTTTAACATTGTTCTTGTTATATTAACTTTTAATATAACAAGAACAATGTTATACTAATATGGTTATAATATTCTTACATAACTGTAATATTATTGTTAAAGTTATATATGTTTAAAATCAAATCAAATTAGAATTTTTAATTTTGAGTCTTATAAATATATATTGAACCTATAAGTATATCTATACTTTATATCTATACTAAGTATAGATATAGATATAATATATAGTAATCTATACTAAGTATAGATAAAGATATAATATATAAGTATAGATCTAGATATAAATATAAACTATAAATATAGATATAAATATAATATATTATAATATAATATATAGTAAAGTATACTTTATATAATATATATAATATATTATATTTATATCTATATTTATAATTTATAAATATAGATAAAGGTATAAAATCATGTAACTTTTAATATTTATAAGCAATAATTATAGCTAGGTATATTTTATAATATAAAGACTTTATATTATAAAATATAATTTAATAAATAAAATAAATCGGACTTTATATTATCAAATATACAATATAAGTTATATATATTAAACGCCGTGGATAGAGTACCGAAAGTCTGACCACTCTGACTACTCTGACCACTATTGGTTTGCCAAAAAAACGACAACCTAATTTGTATGAAAAAAGAGTACCTTTTTTGAAATTACATCCATCTAAAAGACATGCTAGTATGTATAAAAGATGCAGATGTTTTTTTTTATTAGTATTTCGTTAATATAATGTACTTGTTAATTAATCATTTTTAACTAACCAAATATTAAAACTTTGTATTTAGTGATGCTGGGTTGGTTTTTAAAACCAGATGATGTCCATAAAGCTCATTCTGGAATTCTCATCGAAAGTAATTGTATTGAAAAAAGAGTCAATCATATCTCATCTGCTATTCTTGATGAAAGTGCTGTAGGAGCTCTTTTGTCGCTACAAGGGTATTTTACCCCAGATGGATGGAAAGTGCTCCATGAACTAATTGATACCAAATCTTGTCAAAAAATTTGGCCTTGTGCTGTGTGCCAAAAAAGCACTTGCTTGGGTAATGGCATTGGGGACTCAGTAGGATGTGATTCATGCCTTTTGTGGTTTCACAAAAAATGTGTTGGTCAGAAAGAAGGAAATCTTCTAAAATCAAAATACTGGTTTTGTCATTCTTGTTAGAATATTTTTTTATTAATGAAATATAGTTATACTTGACTATATTATATTTGGTATCAAGTGCTTAACTCATATGTTATAAACAACATCAGATGTTTTATTTTACTATTATATTTTAAGTCTAATGGATTTTTTACACATTGATAGTTACAAATTGTGTATTGAGAGCCCTCAGGTTGTATGTTACTTTACAGGTTTTGCAGGTCAACTGCTTCCTTCATTTATTCCTTAATCTTAAACTCAACTAAATTTTTGTAATCTAAATATAAATAGACTGCTTAAGATTTAACACCAGCGTAAAAAAATATAGCAAGTATAACTAGAATTTTCTAGAATTTTTAGAGCTTTAGATAGTTTAGAGTTTTTTAACAACAAGCAGTTTTCACTGAAATTTTTAGAGCTTTATATAGTTTAGAGTTTGTTAACAACAAACAATTTTCACTGAAATTTTTAGAGCTTTATATAGTTTAGAGTTTTTTAACAACTAACAATTTTCACTGAAATTTTTGAACTTTATATAGTTTAGAGTTTTTTAACAACAAACAATTTTCACTGAAATTTTCAGACCTTTATATAGTTTAGAGTTTTTTAACAACAAACAATTTTCACTGAAGTATTTAGAGCTTTATATAGTTTAGAGTTTTTAACAACAAATAATTCTCATTAAAATTTTTAGAGTTTTAAATAGTTTAGAGTTTTTAACAACAAATAATTTTCACTAAAATCTTGAGATTTTTAGATAGTTAAGAGTTTTTAACAACAAATAATTTTAACTGAAATTTTTAAAGCTTCAGATAGTTTTTAACAACAAATAATTTTCACTAAAATTTTTAGGCCTTTATATAGTTTAGAGTTTTTAACAACAAATAATTTTCACTCTTAGAGCTTTATATAGTTTAGAGTTTTTAACAACAAATAATTTTTACTGAAATTTTTAGAGCTTCAGATAGTTTTTAACGACAAATAATTTGCACAGAAATTTTTAGAGTTTCGATAGTTTAATATTTTTAACAACAAATAGATTTTACTGAAATTTTTAGAGGTTTAGATAATTTAGAGTTTTTAACAAAAATAATTTACACTGAAATTTTTAGAGTTTTGTGTTATTACTTTTACAGACACAAATAATTTAACTGGAGCTATAAAATTTTTAAATAGTTCAGAGTTTTTTCTTTTCTTTTTTAGCCGAAAATAATTTTAACTAGAATTTTTAGAGCTTCAGATTTTTTAGATTTCAGATTTAGATTTAGAGTTTTATGTTTTATTTTCCAAAGTTCATGAGTAAGTAAAACAAGTGAAACTTTCAAAGTAAAATAGTTGTCATTTTATTCTTAAATGTTATTTAGAGATAGGTAAATAATTTATTTTATGGTTAACAACTTCCATAAAAAAAATTAATATATAATTTTAGAATTTTTTGAACTTAACATAATTTTTAATCCGAAGTTTGAATTTGTTATAGTATTATTATTTTGTTACAAGTAAAAACAAGTATATTTTATTATATTCTTTTTTTCCTTTTTCTCTAGTTCTTCTGTTCCAGTTTGAGTTGGCTTTCTGTTGAAACATGGTTTAGTTTAGTAAATTTTGATTACTTGAAATTTACTAAGTTAATCATAAGCTAACAGTTACAGAAAATTTGAACTAAACAATATTAAGGTAAGAAGTTTAGTTTACTGGTAATATTACAAAGTATATTCTTACTGGTAATTTTGTTAATTCTCTTTTATATAATGAGAATTTTTTTTTTATGATACCACTCAAAATAAAATTTGCCTATTTTTACACAATTATTTGAATGTAGCCAGTGTCATCTCCAGGCTGATTTTGATACCAGTATCTGGCATTTAAATGTTTCATCTAAACTCCAGTTTGTATTAGTTAATAATAAATATATTTATAAACTAAAATCATTACAAACAGTGACTGTTCTTGAATGTTTTCAGAAGCATTCAACTTATTTTATTGTTTCAAGAAGTTATTTTGGAACCAGTGATCCCAAATAACTTCTGGATAACATCACTGGTAATAGACACAAGTAAGAGGTCTTCCATAAAATATGCACACCTAAAATTTAGATCCTCCTTCCCTAAATAGTATGCATCTCACTGAGTCTGTAATTTGCTCAATGCTTGAACTAATATTTAGCCCTCTGGTAACCTGTTCTAATAGTTATCAAAATGATTCATAATTGAAATGCACTCAAAATCTCCTACATATTTAAACTACTTTTTATTTATATATTTAAATTAAAGTGTTTTGTAACAGTTCTATATAAGTACCTAATGTATATATACATTATACATTTATGTACTATATACGTTATTGTATAATGAACATAATACCTAATAAAATTCTACAATTATTTCTTAAAAATTTTTAGTGGTTACTACAACATATAAGTATACATCAACCTTCCATATTTTTTAACAGCCTGTTACTTTATTATTATAGCATGTTATTATTATACTTTATTATTATAGCATGTATAGCTTTATTTTTAGTTGTTCTATCAATTTTTTACTAATTTTAAAATAATTATAAATTAAAAGCAGCATTGGGGCAGTAAAGTAGCAATAGACACACAGTATCTATTATAAATGATAACAATTAGAGTTGCTGCTTTACAATTAGGTCCTGTTCTCAGGTAGTATTTCAATTTAAGGTTCCAATTTAAACAATTATGGTAAACTGGAATCAAAACTCACTTTGATCCAGCCAGGTATCGAACCCAGGTGGCTAACCTCAAAGCCCCAATGACATACTGCTAGACTAGCAATAATATCTTTTATAAGCTAAAATTGCCTTGGTTTTTTGTTCATAAACTAGAAAGGCATCAAACCTATCCAACTTATTTAACGAAATGCACCACGAGAAGGTAAACCATAGGACTTTGCATTCCATAATATAATTTAAAAATTTTTCCAGATTTATAACTTTTGATAGCTATAATTATTATGTATATTTTTAATTGCGTTCTATCTATTTATTATTTTTAATAACATTTTTAACATTTGATTTAATTATTAACATTTTATTTAAGAGAGTCACTAATTTATATAAATACATAAAAACCAATTATGTGGAATATATTATGTAAGAATTTGTTACTTTTTCAAATCAAATATTAAAAAATTATAATTTTACGTAAATCTTGAAATTTTTTAATTTGTCAAACTCTGAACCCCTAGGTTCGCAATAGCGTCATAACCATAACCATGTAATGGGAAAACATTGAACCTACATTATTGGCTAATGATTAATAAAGTAAATTTCAATTCATAAAAATTTACTAAATTAAAACCATATTTCAACAGTAGTCCAATTAAACATAAAAAATGAAGTAGAGCAGAAACTCATGAATGAACTAAAAAAAAAAAAATTAAAAAAAAAAAAAAATTTAATAAAGAAACATTTTCCAAATTGCACAAAACAAATAATTCTTTTAAGAAAAATATAAAAAAATCAATACTAGTTTTTGTAGAACATAAAAAATAGCAAACATAAAACTTAAAAGCATATATACATAACAAAATATTGATATGCGTAAATTTGGAAAAAAATTAAATAT